CGGCCACTGCACTCCAGTCTGGGCGACAGAGTGAGACTCCGACTCAAAAAAAAACAAACAGTGTCCTCTCTGAAAAATAGCAGCTGGCACTGCATCTCTTTAAGTTCTGGCCAGGCTATATGTTCATTAAGCCATGACGGCCAATGCTTTTGCTAAGCTCTAGTCCGGCCATGTGGCTCTTTGAGCTATGGCCGCCATGTTTTCCTAAGTTTTGGCCCCTTCCCTTACCTTGAAGACAGGCATCTCCTTTCTCTTTCTTTCTCTTTCTCTCTCTCTCTCTCCCATTTACCTTCTAAATAAACTATATTTTTCAATTAAAAAAAGCTCCCAGCCGGGCTCGGTGGCTCAGCCTGTAATCCCGCGTCTTTGGGAGGCTGAGGTGAGTGGATTGCTTGAGCCCGCGGGTTCGAGACCCGCCTGGGCAACGAGACCTCATCTCTACAATAAATCAAAAAATCAGCCGGGCGTGGTAGCGCATGCCTGTAATTCCGGCTACTTGGAAGGCTGAGGTGGAAGGATCGCCGGAGCCCAGCAGGTCGAGGCTGTGGTGGCTGGGAGCGGCCACTGCACTCCAGTCCGGGTGACAGAGTGAGACTCCAACTCAAAAAAAAAAAAAAGCACCCTCTCACAGTTGGTCATTGTAATTTAAAGGAAGAAGGAAAAGGACCTTACTGTGTCAGCCTCTATTATTAATGTTGCTTCTGGAGGGAAGTAAGGGGCTAATGTTACTGTCCCCACCCCCCATTTCCAACTTCCAGGCACTAGGTAGGCCCCTGAATCAGGGCCAAGGGAAAACAGGAAGTAAGGAATAGGGGCCCCTACCCTTTCAAAACCGGCCAGGCTTCTCCCAGCCCCTCCCCTCACACCAGCAGCCAGAGAGAGCAAGTGGAGGAGGATTTTGGACTGGCAGTTTGCAAGGGAAAGAAAGGCCTCTTGTGACTTGCTTCTAGGTGCTGAGTCAGCTGAGTCACAAGGGAGCCTGTGACCTGCCTCCCTTTGCTGTCCCAGGTTTCCCATAAGAGCCTTGAGGGACAGCCCAGAAAGAGCAGGGTTGATCCCTTCCCGTAGACCTCCCTTCCTCTTTGGACTGGCCACCTGTCCACTCACATAATCTTGTAGTTCCTACCCATGAGCACAACATACCCGCTGAGCAGGAAGTAGGGCCATGGTGCTCGGCCTAGGTTGCCTATGAGAACCCCTAGGGAGGCTTGAAAAACACCAGTGCCCAGCCTCTGCCTCTAAAATTTTGATCTGATTGATCTGGGGTGGGATGTGGGCATCGGTGATTCCAATCCCTACCCTCCCATCCCAACCAGATGGTTCTACTGTGCAGCCAGGATTGAGAACCTTATGGAGGAGCTGCCCAACAGGGCAGAGTTGAGATAGGAATGGCAGAGCTGCAGGGAAGAGGGAAGGTGTGGGGGGGTTACCTCACCCCTGCAGTTCAGTTTTGCTGCTCTGAACTCCCTAGCCTCAGGGAGGCCTGACTCATCTTCAGAGCATCCTGAGTGCTTAGTGACATCTCCCAGTCCTCCCTTTCCCTCCAGTTCTTCCAGCCTCTCCCTCTCAGGAATCCAAGTGACACTTGGCCTTGGGCACCAGGAAGGGTATGGGAAGGGGGCCAATCCACACATGCCCTTCTGGGACATTTTACCAGCCTGAGGAGAAATAAGACAAAGTAATTCTTTTTTTTCTTTGACCCAAGGTCTCACTCTGTTGCCCAGGTTGAAGTGCAGTGGTGCGATCACAGCTCACCATAACCCTGAACTTTTGGGCTCCGTGATCCTCCTGCCTCCTGCGCACGCTACCACACCCGGCTAATTTTTTGATTTATGGTAGAGATGAGGTCTCGCCAAGTTGCCCAGGTAGGTCTCGAACCCGCGGGCTCAGGCAATCCACTCACCTCAGCCTCCCAAAGCATGGGATTACAGGCTGAGTCACCGAGCCCAGCAAGTTTTTTTTCTTTAATTGACACGTAATAATTGTACATATTTGTCAGGGGCAGTGTGATATTTCAATACATGTGTACAATGTGTAATGATCAAATCACACTAATTAGCATATCCACCACCTCAAACATTTATCATTTCTTTGCATTGTGATACTTTGTGTTTTTAAACGTTTTTACATAAAAGTGACACGGGGCCAGGCATGATGGCTCACGCCTGTAATCCTAGCACTTTGGGAGGCCGAGGTGGGCAGATTGCTTGAGCCCAGGAGTTCAAGGGCAGTATAGTGAAACCTCATCTCTAAGAAAAAAAAAATCAAAACATTAGCCAGAGGTGGTGGAGGGCACGGTAATCTCAGGTACTGGGGAGGTTGAGGCAAAAGGATCACCTGAGGCTGCCGTGATCGTGCCACTGCACTCCAGCCTGGGGGACAGAGTGAGACCCCAACTCAAAAAAAAAAAAGTGACAAGGATCCCTTCTTTCATGCCTTTAGCCTGTTTCAGTCCTCCTAATTATGTAATCCTGACTAGGCGATGCAGTAACTTCAAGTATCACCCGCCGAGCACTTATTTGAAGAGGACGGGGCTGAAGGAAGATCACCTGCAAGCTGCTTGGCGCGTCTGCACCTTTGGACGTGTCCTCTGGCCTTCATCTCGGGAGAGCAGGCACTGACTGTTTTCATCCCGCCAAGCCTCCCCGGATTTGGTGAGGCGCACGCAGGTGCGAGAGCGCGAGGAAGGGAACTTTCGGCCGGGCCCGGGCCTCTACAGGAGGCTGTGAGGGCCCTTCCCGCCCCTGAGACCCTCACTCGGCACGGCTCGGCCCGCCTCGCAGAAGCAAAGCTAAATCGTTTTTAGGCCCCGTCGGGAACTGGAACCACCGCCCTCCAAAGGCAGGCTCTCAGGTTTCTCCCCAAATGAAAAGAAGGGGCCCTGGGCGCGCGGGAGGGAGCAGGGCGCACGAGGCGGCGCAGGGACGCGAACTGGAACCCGGAATCGTCCCCTGTGCCCCGGGGAGCCCGCCTCTCCTAGGGGTCGCGCCCAGACGCGGCTTATCGAAATAAACAGCCGAGCAAACGGAGGCCTGGAGACCAGGGGGCAGGCGCGGGGCGACGGGGGGGGCAGAGCCCGGCGACTGGCCACGGGAACCCCGGCGAAGTTGGAGAGCGGAGACGGTCCCTCCCTGCCCGACGCAGAGTCCGAAAAAACGTGACGTTGCCGGGGGACAGGTCCCGACCAAAAAGGGGCTGTGTTTCTCTCACTTAGGGAACCCAGTGAC